GCTACTCGTCTCCTACTACTCCTCTTCTACTACTCCTCTCCTACTCCTACTCGTGCCCCAACCAATACTCGCTCTTACTGAACACTACTCGCTCTTACTGAACATTACTCGCTCTTACCAGGAATGTTGATTCTCTAATATGGTCACTGTGGAAATGTACCTCGTACCCCTTAACACTGCCATCTTGGGCTAGTGCGTACATTTCAGACTTCGCTCGTCCTCTTTCCAATGTTGTTTCATCTCCCTTTCCTCTGCCTCACATCTGGCTGAACTTAGAAAAAAAAGCACTGCCTGATACAAACCAATGTGGCTCGGCTGAAGCAACTATGACTTGTCCAATCTTACCTTGCTCATACTTCGATAAGAAGGGGAAATAGATGCTGAAAGTAGTCCCCCTATTCATACACTCCCATACAATCATCCCGGCAATCTTCTCTAGAAGCAATTACACCGTTCCACTAGGAAATTACGTGCATTCTTGCTAAAGTCTTACACACCACACGCTACATCCTAAACCCGAAGCCCTACATCCCTAAACCTTCAACCCTGCATAAACCCTGAAGCCCCGTGTCCTGCAGCGCTTTGCTCATGAGGTGGTGGGACAGACGCTCGGAGCCATCGAGCAGCTCCACCTTGAGAGGTTCTCAGAAAGGACCATAGGGTTTTGGGGTTTAGGAAGCTGTTAGTGTTTAGGGTTTAAGGTTTAGCAAGCTGTTACTGTCAGAACAGAATTCTTGTAGAGATGTCGTGTGTTCGCGCGCTGTGGGTTTTGCGCGGCCGCCCCCCTCTGCTGCTGCATCCCCCATGGTATCCTCCCCACACCACGTGTGGAGTGACGGTGGTTCCCTCTGCAAAACCTCTAAGAAATCTCTGTGATTGAGTCTTCTAAGCTCTTGTACCCTTTTCCACATGATGCCTTCTACACTTCCTCTATATATATATATATGTAAACCTTATACGGTATATATATATATATGTAAACCTTATACGGACCTTTTAAGCCCGCTTTAAGGTCTGAATACTCACTGGCTCAGTGATTTGGGGGTTTAAGATTTACAAATCCCTGCATTTTCCTCAAACGCTGCAATACAGCTCCTTCATGGATAGATCTTCAATGTACTTCCTTCGAAGCGCCAGGAACTCGCCCACGGAAACCTCTCGCTATGATCCTAAGTTCTTGAAATCCTCCAGGACACCCCTGCTTTCAGGGCCACCCAAGCTCCAAGCCCCGAATCCCCAAACCCCAAAATCTGAAACCTTAAATGCAACTCCCGGAACTCTAAACCCGAGTCTAGAGCTTGAACCCCAAATCCTCAAAACACTAAGCCCCTTCCAGTAAACCATATAAGCCCTACCCGTCATGCAGCTTGCTTGGAGGGACATGGGGATTTAGTAAGATGGTTACAAAAAAGGGGGATACTGGGGTTACTGTATGGCTTACAGGGGTAACTCACATCCTAAACCTAAACTCTAAACACAAATCCCCCTCTACCCTAAACCATCCACTCCAAACCCAAATCCTCGGACTCAAAACACTACACCCGCTACCGAAAGCCCTGCAAACCCTACCCGTCATGCAGCTTGCTTGGAGGGACATGAGGACGTAGTTAGAAGGTTAATTCGGGTATATGTGCGAATCTTATCTTAATTAGAGGGGTAGCCTAAAGCCTAAACTCTAGACCCTTGTCCACCTTAAACTCTGAGCCCTCAACTCAAAACCCAAATCCACTTAGTAAGTCTCCTTGACCCCCGCAGGTGCTGCAAGCAGCCTCCACGCCCTTGAGCCACAAGAGATCTGCACCTGGGCCAATTGGGGTGTAGGCTTTTAGGATTTAGCGTGAAGGGTTTAGGGCTATTGCAATACCAGTATTATGGTCCTTTTACAGGGGTCACAGGGGACATGCACGGTTTAGGCTTATGGCAACAAGCGGGCCTAATTACGAGGAACGCGCAAGACTACAAGATTCTTGTGATCACAGTAGGGTTCTCATTTGGGGGTCGGAGTAGCCAAAGTTCCCGTATTGTCATGTGAGCCCATACTCATTCTGCCTAAGCCTTGGGCTTTTCATAGACCCAGTATATCCCCTATTTCAACCCTACATAATGAGGGGCGTGTAGTCAGGACGCAGGAGGCAGATAGGCCCACGTTTACAATCGTAGGCTAATTTTGGGGGGTGGGCTTAGGCACCCTAGACATGTAAAGGATCTTGGGGCCTACTTTAGGATTCTACCAGGATCACCATGTTATTGACGTGGAAGGCTCAGAGATTAGGCTCCAGGGATGTAGTACAGGGGTAAAGCTTAAGGTTTGGGATCTTTAGGGGGCAATCAGCACTGTCATGATCCTTTGGTCCTGCTGTATAACTCAGGAGGATCCCCCACCCTGTAAAAGTGGTATAATAGGAATACAACAGGACCCTAATATAATCCTCAATATCCCTTTTAGTCGCCACCTAGTGTAACTCTGATGTGCCCCACGATCCAACTCTTATGAGCAAGTAGGCCCCTGTCCCTATTCAAAATACTGCCATTCTATTTGCTTTTGGGGTTGTTTTACCTGAGGGGTGGTGACGGGGGGGGGGGGTATTCGTTGGAAGTGGTGGTTATAACCCGAGGGTTGGACGGTAGCCCCAAGAGCCAAGTAAAGGTATACAATATGCGTAAACTATGGTTTGCGGACGGAATCCTGTAGGAATCTCAGTCTACTGTCGTACCAGGCGTAACTTTTCATTAAGTCATTATAAGGTATATGTGAAGCTATAGTACGGGCGAAGCTGCCCACCTGAAACTTCCTTAGGTTTTTTTTACCTCTACAGTGCGCTCCAATAGGATAAGACCTTTTGATCCCACCCCTCTGGGTCCGCCGCCAGGATTTCGCAGTCGGGCCTTCTCCAGGAGCGAACGAGCCTGCTTTCTAGGGTAAAGAGGTTGTATAGGGGTTTAAAGTTTAGGGGTTTAGGATTTAGGTTCAGAGGATTCAGGTCTATCTAGGGGGGGTATGTAAGGTTTAGGGGCATTACCAGAATAAGGAAGGATCAAAGGTACAAGAAATTGAAAAAATGGAAGGTCGGATGTCTTGGGTGAGTTAGGCTATTTTCGCAACAGTAGCATTTGTCTATGACAAGGAATTGCCTAATAGAAAAATGCCTACCTCGCTTTAATGTCTGGAAGGCTCAGGAAATGCCGGAAGTATGCATCTATTGGGGGCCATTGGCAAGACTAATGCACCTGAGGTCCTACCATGCAGTTGGTTTAGGGTTTAAGGGTCTAGGGTTTAGGATGATAAGTAGGGAGCTGAGTAGAAACAACTGCAGAGCCAGAGCCATACTTCTAGGCTGACTGTATGCACACAGTTCCGGCAGAATCGCCGTCGCCTGAATACCAGATTGTCCTGGCTGGACCCAACCAGACACCAAAGCATTTACTACCCCCTAATAAGAAATACTCCCAATATAGTACTACTACTGTGTTGCTTTGGAATATTTAATGTTGGGGGACTGTTTTTGGATGACAGTGCATTGAAGGTAAAAGAGAAGATGTTCTCATGTGCTTCTACTTGGCAATCTTCCGGAAGGCCTCATGCTATCCCACCCGATTTAGGGTCAGGGTCTAGGGTTTAGATTCAGAGGTTTAGGGAGATCGTAGTCATACTATACCTTTCATAAGGGTCCTATTCATGACTGTGGCAGGGTGGGGACAGCATCCAACTTCTAGGCTTTTCAACCCTAAAACCCTACACCCGAAAACCCTCAACCCTACACCTTTAACCATCAAACCCTAAACCCTTCCTAGTCCATGTTTGGTTGTACCCCAAAAAGTCCCCTAACATGAGCCAATGTTGTTTCCAAGGGTTGCATGTAGGAATCCTGGAAGCCTTGAAGCTTCAGGGTTGCGGTAGAAGGCTCTGGGCTTGGGACTCGGCTTTAAGGCTTGCTGATTAGGGTTGGGGGTTCAAGATTTGGGGTTCGGGGCTTAGGGTTTGAGGCTTGGGGTTTAGGATCTAGAGTTTAGGATTTAGATTTTGAGCAACCCCTCGTTCCCGGAGCTCTAACTGCGGCTAAGGCCTTGGTGTACTTCTGCTGCTTGATCCTGTTCAGCTGCGGGGTCTTGAAAAAGGACGTAAATGAGCAGCCCAATTGCGTGCTTGAAAGGCATTTGGGATTAAGGGCTTCGGGGTTTAGGTGGTCTAAGGGGCTTAGGGTTTTTCAGGATTTAGGGATCCTTGGGGTGATGCTTTGCCCAAGGATGACCTCGTTTCTATTCCAAAACCTACACCCTTTTGGTAGCTGGGGTCGTCAAACAATGTTTCTGTTGTGGAGCTTACATCAAGGTGATTGCCAATGTAAGGAAGCCCCGGTATTTATCATATTCCCATCGGTGGGGCCAGTGCAACCCTCAATCCATGGGGTCTATAGGTCTCTACATGTTTCTCTGAGGAATTCCAGGACCCAGAAACATCTGATTTATACCTGGGACCGGGTGGAGAAGAACAGGCACTTGCAAGAGGTTCTAGGAATGTTAGGGTTAAGGTCTCGGCCTCGGGCTTTTGTAGAAGAAGGCTACCCTTCGGTTTTGTAGGGTCCTCTAGAACTTTTTACAGGGACTTGTTTTGAAAAACCCCGCCGTGTGCAGGAGAAGGCAGAGGGGATCTAAGGACGAGTCATACTGCGTGTTACAGCCTGGACCATTGTTCTCAGGTTGTAATTTCAAATTTGAAACAAGCACCAGTACTGGGGTATGGCACTTCCCAAAATATGCCAAACATGCCACACCTAAAATTCCTGCGCTTAGTTCAAAGATCCATGATTTAGAGAAACCCTGGTCGGCAAAAAGCCTAAGTACCCTTGTATGGACTCAATTCTCGTCCTATTTAAAGGTTTCGCATAGCCAAGAGAGTACCCTCAGCCAGCCACGCCGAGCGCACAAGAATGACTATCATGCCGACACATTCCGGTGATGCGACTGCGGCTGTACTACTACTTCTGTAACAACTGCTGTTGCCAGCATTGTCAACTGATGACCACTACTATTCGGGGATGAAACCCCCGTCCTTTTGGCAAATTCTTCCCTCTTAAGCAGGCCCACCACCCCGCATGCAAAAATCACCATGCTGTTGCAATTCAGCTCCCCAGCTGCAGAACATTAAAACAAAAAAAAAAGCGAGCCCAATTTAAGGAATATACCCTAGCTGATTCTAGGATCCAGTCTGTGATTCAGGTTATATTCCTTAATTAATGGGTATGCCCCCTGAGAACGCATCACCTATCGGAGAAATGGAAAACAAAACGGACACAACTTAGGTTGAGGGTGGTTCGCAGGGAATGGAGGAAAAATGAAAATAGCTCCTTTATGTCATTGAATCGTTTCTTCATTTCCTGCTGGCCGCCCGGAAAGTAAAGGGCCTTCAACAGCAATCCTGGAAAATGCTCTATATCGCCCAGAAGCGCGGTTTAGGGTTTAGGGTTTAGGCCAGTGAGTCTCTTGCACCACATTCACTTGACACCATGCCCTAAACTCAAAACCCCACCAGCTTAAGACTCCCAACACCGTAGGATTAGCTTTGACAAAATCTGCAACCCTGTCAAGGGACCCCCCCCTGCCCTCAAGGACTTGGTAGCAATTTTCTGGAAAAAAGGACAAACAGAGCAGCTGATGATAATCATCAAGCAGGTGGAGGGGGCCCATGGCAGCCACCTAAAAGGCATAAGTGAAGGCTATGCGTACCTTTCGCGAAGGTAGGGCGTAAATAATTTGTACACGGCTTTGGGGCACATTATGCTGTAGTTACGTGAGGGTGATTCGGGAAGAGCATTGAAAATATCTAGGCTTCTAGATGATTCCAGAGGATGAGGGCGCTGCTCACACTCCACGGCGCACAGCCACAGCGGCACGCTGCCTGGGACAGTTACAATTCATCAATCGTACTGTTGATGAAGGAAATCATGCACCGCCCGGCAATACCTTCTACCCAACTGACCACTAGGAGAAGACGAGTTTTCCTTCAAATGGTTCACAAAATATGGCTACCTTCTTCCATAAGGATACCTGAGCCCCAAAACACTGAACCCCTGCTTGGAGGCAGCTCAGTTCTCAAAGGAATGGATCCCTGGGTTAGGATTTGGGTTTAGGCTCTTTTCATGCGACCTAAACCGCCCTAGTGCAACCAATAAAGGTAAAAAGTTCAAATTCTTGCTTATCCCTGCGAGTGATAGGTAGAATCGAACTTGCCACCAGCGTCCGCAAAATCCTCAATCTCACTTTAACGGGACGTGTTGAGCACACCTACATCCCCTATAGCCTGTATGTCAACCCGAGTTATCCCCTTGTGGACCAACATGCTAAGCCCCTGACCCTCCATGCATACCTCGCTTAGCCCTACATAATCTCTGCACAGCCCTATATAGCTCCTCTTCAAATCCCATAAGCAGCCCCTGTATAGGCCCATGCAACCCCATATGCATACTGTGAACACCCTAAACTCTAAACTCTAAGGTGCATGTTCTCTGAGCTCTCTGCGGGGGCACTTCAGCAAACCACGCTCGAAGAACTTTGTGGCCTAGACATATGGGCTTTGTGTGGTCAAACCATACTTTAAGATGGACGATAGGTTTCTATAAGGGTTGGTAGAAAGATTGTAATGCAGAGGCCTTTTTATTGGAATAGATTGTTTGGGGTGAATTCCGCTATAGTTATATGAGGATTATCAAGGAACAGGTTTCCTTTAATATTCTGTCCCTACTGTAGGTTATATGTCCCCCTGTTATCTTGAAATCCTATAGAACCCATATTATAACCCTTCCTAATTCCAGTAGTATAACTTTAGGTTCTCGAAGGGGGGATTCAGAGCTTGGTCTTGTGGATGAGGCTCGGTCTGGGCTTGGGATTCGTAGTGCTATTGTTTTTTGTTTGACGAAGGCTTTTGCGTGCCGCGAGTCTCGTCATGACATTAGCTTTTGGATGCAGTGGCCCTATCACAAGCCACAGCGCTTGGTTGTGGACACGACATCTTCTAACCCGGACGCAGCAAAGTCCTTACTCATCCCGTATGGGTCCTTCCAAAAGATGCAAGCTCCCCTATTTGTTGAAAAACATTGAAAAAAGGATGGCCGTATATTGGGGGGGGGGGGCTATCATGGGATTTATAGAGTCACTCATAGCCCACCCAGACCATGCAAACCTCAAACACCACAAGCCCTAAAACCGAGCCCCCCAAACAATTGTTGTAAAACCCAAAGCAGTGTCCATTCATTTGCCATTTTTCCATTTTCTTCTCCATATGATTAATCCATTTTTCAGGTGATATCCTAATTTCATTTGATGGAAGCCCTCATGCCTAAAACCTACCTTAATGGAAGCCTCAAACCCCAAACCGCCTCCAGAAGCTCGGGTGGAGACCTGAGCCAAACCAATGGAGACTGGGCATAAAGTACTTGGAGGGTCTTTTGGTCGACTTAGTACATGTGGGGGTAGAAGGTTTAGGATATTGGGCTTTAGGGGATTTAGGATTTTGGGGTTTTGGGTTTAGGGCTTCAGGGTCTAGGGCTCGGAAGGTCAGGGGGGCCTAGCAAGTATATGTCTGACTCAATTCTCTAAGCCATCTAATATCCCCAGCTATCCTGTTACGAGGACGCCTGGAAAGGGTACTGAGGAAGTGTTCTGTAACCGTAACCTCCGAATTTAGGGTGGAGTGTAGGGCCGAGATCAGCATGGAATTCACGGAGTGCGTGTGATTTCGTGACTAGGCTTTAGAATAATCTTCCCTGCCGGCCATTCCTTCAGCCTTCTTCTTCTGAGCGATTAGCTTTGCCCTGTAGCACGGTTTGCCACATGAATAAGGCCCAACAGCAATGCTCATGACTACGTGATGCCTACTTCCCTTTCCCTACAACTTAACAAAGCGTCCCGACCATCCCTTATAGTAATCCCCAAAGATAGTACCAGTAGATATTAGGATGAATATTGCCTATTTTGGGGGGGGCAGGAGAGGGTATCAGTAGGGGGAGGGCACTATTCCTCATGAGGCTACTGATCGCCAAATACGTTGCTTAACCAAAGCCTCCCCATAAACGATTCCTCAAACCAGGGGTTGGCTAATTAAGGATGATACCCCGAACCCCCCCCTTAGCCCTACAAATGTAGGTGTTGTGTTTCCCATTCTCCTGATGCGGCTGGTCAGCAGGGAGTGCAGAACGAGGAGATTGGGGCTGATTACTGTGAAGGATAAATGAGTACCGCTAGATGGATCCATTCCTCCATTCCATACTTACCCTCCAGCAACCTTTGCCTAACCCTTCACCTTACTCACGTGATTCTGAAATCCGTTAGTTGAGACTGGGACTTCTCCATGTGGATCTGGCCACCAATCATCCACAGCTTCGCAAAGGAGGGATGTTCCTCTGTAACAGCGATACATGGTTTAGGGCTTGGGGCTTCGGGGTTAAGGTCAAGGCTTACTGTTTTGGGTTAAGGGGATGAATTTAAGGTCCCGAATTTTGGAGATGGCGTGGTGAGCTTAGGGTATAGCGTTGCATGGAGGACTGCTTCAAGAGAGAGGGTTCCAAAATGAAGATTGAAATATCGATTGAAACACTGTACACAAGTCCCAAAGATCGTGTGGCTCACAAGGAAGCAAATGAATAGGTATTTAGGTACCCCAAAATGGATAATGTTCTTGACAATCCCCGCTGCCGCGCAAAAAACTTTAGGCTTAAACGCTAAACCCTAAGTCCCCATAGGGGCTACTATACCGATCCATTCTCTCATTCCATGCCCCAGCCCTCAAGCTCTCCAGCCTTCAAGCCCTCCTCGGACAAGTGCAAGGCCTGTGGGAAACACGCACGCATCTCGTTTGGGTTTACTGGGTTTAAGGTTGGGGTATGCTTAGGGTTGGGGTATGTGCCCAAATCTGGCTTAAGGTTCTGAACCCGACCCCTAAACACACTCCGTTTCCATCAGCATTCGCTGATGTCTACCCAATACTCCCTGAGGATGCCAAAGACTCAGTACCTACCAAAGTCCCTGCCATATAAGGACCGCACCATGTTGAGGTATATATTGCGGGTCCCTTTTGTTCTGGAAATGCGCATAGACCTGCTTAGAGTTCTGGGGTCTTGAAACAGAGAATGCATCTGACAATTGATGTTCCTTTTTTGCGGGGATCCCTCTACTGACAGCGGCAAACGTTCGGGTTTAGGGTTGTTAGGGTGCTGACTCTACTTTTCAGGGGCTTGGGGATGGGACTCTTCTAGCTCAACTGGGGTATCATGGGATGACCTAGAAACATGGGGGGTTGCGCACGGGCTGTAGAAGAGCTGTTTGTGGCAATGGGATTAGGCGTCAATCCGGAGAAACCCTCAATGATCTTAAAAGGGCCTCCTACCCTGTGTAACCCCGTTTGCAGCCCTGTTTGCAACCCTCAATCCTATAACAGGGACCTTCAATCTGTTTCACCTGGTTTTCTGCACAGGCCCGCCTGCTGGTACAGCCCCTGCTCTCGCTCCAGCTGCACTGATTGCATCCAAACCTGACACCCCATGATCTGGTAGATTCCATAAATGGGGGGGACCTCAATATCGACACGAACATGGCTGGAGCCTTATTCTGGGGAGTGATAAAGGTATCCCAACTTTTCAAAGTTCCACATTCAAGGTCCAGGGTTGCGCTGTGCAACTTTTGAACTAGAATCTTTATTAACTATGGGGGCTCCCAATCAGGGATCCCTAATTTTGGGAAACCCCCAAAGAAGGAGATATAGAGTTTGGTGTTCAGGAGCCTGGGTCTTGCGGGTTAGCGCAGGAACGAGGCCGCCTGGTTGTTGATTGATGTTTTAGGAAGGATGTCTTGGTGTTTAGGGTTGTTTCATGTGAGTTATAGTAAAAACTGCTACTATCCCCCTATATAACCCCCATTAAGGAGTTTAGACTGTAGCTCATGTGCCGCGTCAGGGTGCAAACTGCATGGTTGAAAGCTTAGCGTCCCCAATGACCTGAGTTCGTGCCCCAAAGTTTGGCAAGGCGCCCTCGACTATAGCATTCTCCGAAGCCACGAAGATGCTCTTCCAAATTGATACTTACTAACGGTCCTACCCTAAACCCTGAACCCCTTCTGCAAGCTCATGTTCAGAACCCAGCCCATCCCAAAACAAAAAGCAGGCCTGAGATCTTGCAGGAAGTCCACTGCTATAAACAAGGTTGCGAGTGTGGTGGCTGAGGCAAGGCAGGGGTTCCTCAAAGCTGTCTCTCATAATGCCCTGTGAGGTCTAGAATCCTCCTATAATCCCGATCAATCCCTGGGGTCCCCGAAAGGCCCCCTATTTTGAGCAACTCAATGCTAGGGATCCAAACCAGCCAAAGTAGGTAATAGATTTTAAGGCCCAAAGTCATTCATAAGAATGGACTAACACTGAGAGGAAAAATCATTAGAATCTGTGTGTTTTGTCCTCTCATCTCCTCGCTTCTCCGTCGGCCACAATATGGGGCATGTTCCCAGGCAAATAAGACAGATCTAACAGCTCTTAGGACTTGCCCCAGCGGTTGCAGACACAGCTTGAGCTGGAGTAGCTCAGCGGTCCCTGGATGCAGTGCTTCGCAACGAGAACTGGGGCAATTCCAGGGACTTGAAAGCTCACTGACTGCGTTCAGCCAAACGCACGAGAGAAAAGAAATAAATGGGAAATGACGGAAAGATCCGTATAATTGTCGTGTAGATCCCCGTTATAGTCCCTCTAGCCCATTGGTCCATTCCTTACCAAGCACCAAAGGTAGACTTTGGCACGCTTCTTGTTAGCTGCTCAGGTGGCAAAGCTAACGCGGAAGAATGATGAAGCGAGCAAACTCCACGCTTACACATGAACACGTTTACAAAAAATCACTCTACATACAACAGACCAACGACCACCACTCCCAATGCCTATGCCCTAAAACCTGATCACTAATCCGAGCACTAGAACAATGAAAGGGACCATATTTAAAGGATTTTTTGGATAGAATTAAGCTCCAAAGACTAGCTACAATTAAGTGGCTTTTCGTATGGAGAAAAAGGACCAGACTTAAAGAACATTTTCGGGGAACCTATCCTGATAGTAGAGATATTGAATACATTCCTATTCATTTTTGAGTTAGTAGAGGTCCAAGAGTCCCAATGACGCAGGAATGCATTCCTATCCTTTTTGAATTGAATTCCAAGAGTCCCAATCATTCTTTTAATCTGGCGCCCCTCATTCCTTATTCTGCAGGGGGGCCCCCAAATTAATCAAGTGCTCGGACTAAATTAACCCCTAACCGTAACCCCGAAACCCATCATCCTAGAAGGCTCTTGAATCCTTGCTTCACGGCCATGTCGATCATCTTACTTCTCTGCTCTTCCAGCTTTTCCTGCACAACTACGTGTGATCTGCGACCGCTGCACCGCTTGCCACAGCCGCGACTCCACCCAGCACACCGGCCCCGCCAGATGCGATGCTTCCACCGCCGAGTGCAGCCAGACCACTCGTGATTCCTGAAGCAGAGAGGCCTGCCACAGCACCACTTTCAGCCACCATCACGATACCAATCCTGGGTTCAGGTCAACTGCTGCCCTTGGGTGAAAGTATCTTATCTTTGTCTCTTCCAGAAAGAGCAAGACAAGACAAGTTGTCCAGGCAGAGTCAAGAAGCGTAGATCCCGCCACTGCCCCTCCAACACCACCAATGGCAACTGCTGTTGGCGTGAGGGAGTTGTTCTCCATTGCATCGCAAAGATTGTAGATGGCATGGGCGCTAAGTACTGATGGTGCCGCGGCTACGACGAAGATTCCCCCCACCATGCCCAAACCACCACCGGCCACAGAACCTCCACCAAGTGTTGCCAGGCCACCTGGCAAGAGCATTCGATAGCTGGGTTGCTATTATAAGGAACTGACAGTTGAATTACCACAAGACGGACACTTCAAGCAAATAATGGGGTTGCGCTAGAATGGCTGAAAAGCCTGAAACCTCATGGCATAAGCTCAACAGATGAAATCTCACAACAGGGGCGAATGGGTCTTAAGGGATAGGTAGGTGAAAACTCTTCGCCACATAAGCTATAACAAATACTCATGTGGCTCATGGAGATGGGGGCTCGTTGGGGAAGATAGCGAGTATGTACATACATATGTATATACATATATATATATATGGACTATCATAAGGAACCACACAGGAGCCCACACAAAGCCCAGGCACTTGTGACGGAAGCTGCACCACAAAGCCCTTCCGCGGCCACGGAAGTGACCACAATCTTCACGCCCTCCACGGATGTCAGTGACAGGATCCTGCCAGCTAAAGTATTATATATATATGTACATAGAGCTATATAGGGGTAATCTTGGGGTTATGTAGTGATAGTGGAAAAGAAAACGGATACTAGTCTACTATTTAGGGCTTAGTTTAGGGCTTGGCCCTGAGGGGTTCTATGAGCCATCGTCTAAACTCCTCGTATCCCCCTTAATAACCCCTATAGTAGTCCCCTATTTAATCCCCTATATATTCCCCCTTGAAGGAGTTTAAGCCATGGCTCATATGTAGAGCTATGTAGGGGTAATATTGGGGTTATGTAGTGAGAATAGAAAAGAAAACGGATACTACTCTACTGTTTAGGGTTTAGGGCTTAGGGTGCAACGCTAAGGCTGAAGCCTATGCCCTGAACCAAGCCCTGAACCATTCAGCCTAGGGAATCATATCCAAAAGAGCTAGATGATTGTTGGGGAAGAGAACAGACTCGAGGTGAACAGCTGGAAAGGCCCGGAATTGTGAATGTACATGGGGGTTGTTCTAAAGGTCCTTGTAAAGAAGAGTCCATTGAGAATATACTTCCTAAAAAGGGGATCCTAACCAAACAGGGAACCTACATTATGGCCATTTTAGGGACAGATATGTTGAACAACTACCACATACTTTTTGTCAAGCCATGGATGCACATCCACGAGGAATGGCACAGGCAGCAACAACAATAGGTAGGTCTAGGACCATGACTTAAAGAACAGCGGAGGACGCGAAGCTGCGCTGCAGTTATGTGAAATTCGGTTCCCACTATAAGGCAGCCAAGCACAGAAGTGGATAGCAGAAGTGAAGCTCAGACATTCCGAAACTTACCTATGCTTTCGGCCATTCCCCAGCCCAGCAACTGTCCTTGAACATGCTTTATTAACGGGTCATAGTGGCTCTTGGTGCCTCTTGTGGAAACTTTTACGATAATGGGGAATGACCTAGCTCACGCTTGTTCCAAGGCTTGGAAGGGTAATCCTGAAACCATGGAGAAGCAAGTTTAGCGTTTAGGGGGCGATGCCATGGAAGCTGGGGCTATGTAGGGGCTATACAGAGATCACCTGCAAATAATCGAAGGACAACCTCCCAAACCCCAAATCATGCACATTTCCCATGCTTGGAGAGGCTTTTGTGGGGGTGATAGAGTATCATAGAGGAACCGTTCCGTTCCATTGATCCGTTCCCCTATTCCCCTTGCTCTGAAATCGCTATGTGTGCCTTTTTCTTAATGATTTGCATTGTAATTATTGTTCGTGTTGTGGCAAAACCAGCTTCTGTTTGACCCCGGACTACCGGCAGACAAAGTCCTTGCTGCGTCCCAGCAAGCCGACACAGCCTTCTTGGCCTTGTCAATGTGCGTATTCGGCACAAAGGACCAGATTGTGTTTGCCGCAGTCACCACCATGAAAACGCCATCGGCAATCTTCACAAAAGCTGATGAGCCGTCCAGAACCCGATCTACTTGGCCGTACTTCAAGGTCTTCGTCTGCTTGCACAAAAGCTGGATGATGCTTTTTGGCTTGAAGTCTTCCTTGGTGAAAATGCTGAACCAAGCACTTCGCATGCGCCGCCATTGCTCCTCAGAGACTAGAGGACCAGGTGATTGTGTGGGCCCGTTAGACACATTTCCGCCCATCGTACAGGAGGAAGTGCGCATAAGCAGGAGGATGCGAAGGCTCTGAGCCAATTCCGGGGCGACAGCCAATGACCGTGGAAATCAAAGCATCAGGAATGCAGGTGTTGCGGTATTTCGGTCGTAAGAGCAAGGACCCTTCAAAAACATGGCACAGCATTGTCTTCTTCTTAAGGTAAGACAACGTGCACGTCCCGCCTTCGGCGTGTTGCATTGCTGTCGTGCCTGCAGCCGCAAGGCTTTTGCAACATCCTGCTTGCAGAGTAGGTCGTACACAAATAAAGTACTAGCCTACTAGCCTTTTCACAACGCCCAAGCTGTAAGATTTCTTAAGGCTAGTGCAGAACCTAAGTAGCATCCCATATCCCTCCGACACATGACTGTCCATGGGTCAAAATCTGATTAATACCTTATACGTATTCCTCAAGTTTGGATACGTCAAGGGCAAACTCTGACCTGAAATCCTGGCATGCAAAGCTTGCTGGTTGGCGTAATATGCTTTGTTCGCGTACATCGAATAGGGATACTTCTAAGCTTCTACTGAAAAGAGAGGGCTCCAAATCTGAAATTGTAAGCATGGACCATAGTCAGGTCCAACATAGACAGCCTTAATTTTGGTCTCGAGAAAAATCGTTAACCCTGCAAAGACGCATGCATGCTCTAGCTGATTCCGACAGCACCCTATGAACATATACAAGACAGCATGAAGCTGTACATGAAGACTTCCAAAAAACAAGTCCTCTTTGGGGCTTGCGATGACCAAGAATTTACCCGCTCCGAAGTCAACCCACATGGACCCTAAACCCAAAACCCTAAATTACCCGACATGGACCCCTGTTGGAGGGACTGAGACTGCGGTCTTCGGGGCGCTTTGTTGGATTGGAGTTCCAAGCCAGTTTGGAGGAGGGTGGTGATATAAACGGGAAGCCTACTCTTTCAAGTACCTGAAGACAGGCGACAGAAGAATGAGGGGTACCCATAGGACCCTCGAAGCATAAGGTTTTGTAGGAGATGGAGGCCCCTAGCGATTGTAGAGGGGTCATGTGTGTCAAGAAACTCCGACATGTTTTCATAAATGGGGTGGGGGGGGGGGTGCATGTAGACCCAATCTACCATAGCCCCTTTTGTAAGACTCTCCAAAAGTGGACCCCCCAATTCAAGGAAACCCTAAACCCTACGTAAATCACTGCTTTTTACATGAACCCTCAAGGACAAAAATATTTATACCACATTAGCTATATTTCCTATATCTCTCCTTTTTCCCGTTCTATCCATGTGAGCCCTAACCCCTAAATCCCCTAAACCCTAAACCCAGAACCCTAAACCCTGAACCCTAAACATATCCCTATACTTCCTAGAAGTGCTGGGTTTCGAGCTCGAGCAAGCAGCAGACGAGATCGCTGGATCTCATTGTTCTCACTCTCCAGCTTCACCTCGAAGACATGGGTTTAGGGTCTAAGGTTTAGGTCCTGAGGTCTAGGGTTTAGGGGATAGGATACCCTTAACAACTTTAAGGTTTGAGTGCTACGGTTCAGGATCTAGGGTCTTCAGTTCAGGTTTTAAACGTGTAGGGTTTAGAGTACGAATAGAGGTACGCAAGGATATGCAATGAGATAGAACAGGAAATGGATCAAGAACATTGAAACTACTATAGTGCTCTTGGATAGGGTGTAAGGCTTAGCGTTTCTGATGGTTGAACCTACTGAGGCTGTTGTCTTGTTATAAGGTGCGATAACTCAAAGGACAGTTTAGGGGACTCTAGTACCCCTGCTAGACATAGAAAGGGTGTGGAACCACTACTCGCGAGACGTGACTTACCAATCTTCCCATCATGGTTCTTGTAGAAGTATCAACTGCACATTATGGGAAACGACTGAGGGGTGCTTCAAAGTTGAAATTCACCTCCAGATGCTCTTTGTCCGACAACACTTTGCATTCTGGGGTGCCTATCTGAGACTGCAAGGTCAAGTTTGCCAAGCATCCAGGCTTGGGCTAAGGCGATGGGGGTTGGGTGTTTGAGAAACTTTGAACATCTGGTTTGTCAAGGTTAGTAGGCTCCCAATTTCGAAATCCATGACAAGGGTCCCGATTCCCAGCCGCGTGACAGCAATCATGAAATTCCACAAAAGGGCCGCCCAAACTAAACCCTAAAAACATTCTGTTAGCTTGCTCGTCCGGATGGGATGCGAAGGTAAAGCCCTGGGCGACCAGCTCCGAGAATCATGGATCTAGTTGTGAAATGGGGGCAACGGCCAACTGCCTATTGCAAACTTGGGCAACGAAAAGCTGAGGCTAAGACGGCTGCCAAGTGAATGGCCTGCCAAAGCTCAAAACTGAGGACTGTGTTTCTTGGTTAAACCAAACAAGCTTACCGTACTTTATTCGTTTGAATGCCATAACCGCAAGGAGGACATAATGTTACTTTATGTGGTAGTTCCCCAGAATAAGGGGACCACAATATAGACCCCAAAATACTAGAATCTTTATTATAAGGACCACCCAAAGGTACACCTAGTTTTGGGAAACCCCCATGTTGGGGACTATAACATCTCCATGGCAAAGCATTACTCCAGCCAAGGCAAAGCTCGGAAGTTTACAGTGATAACGACAAATCACTTACTCCTGGCCTAATGTGGCTATAGTCTAAACTCCTTAAGGGGGGTTGAAGATTATCTTGGGGGTTATATGGGGGAGTATTATAGGGGTTTGTAAGGGGGAGTAGTTTAGACTATAGCTCATAGTGAAACAGCCATAGCGCCAACGTGCAAGGGGTAGCTGCCACTTCCCCCAACCCATGAGAACTACAATACCAACTTCCAATCAACACCCACTTTCGTGCATCCATAAAGGAAGAGAACAAAACCTGCACATTGCCAAGCTACAGGAATCCCACAAACCTTGGAACCCTGAAACTTAAAGCCTAAACAATGTAAGAGCCTTCAGAGCAAACAACATCAAGCCCTTGAGGAGAGATGCGGCCTCTGACTCCTTGGAATGGCTGAACGCTTCGGCCAAAATCCTGCAGACTGCGCGGCAGAAGTTTCTCAAAGTTGCGGGCCACAGTGTCTTTTCCTTTTCAGGGGGGCAAATACAAGGTACAGGGGTTGTGTAAGCAACGCAATTTTGGTGCCATACCGCCAAAAGAAGCTAGAAGCCCTCCCCACTGAACCCTAAACCCAAGACCTTAACCAAGGTACAGGCCAGTCTATGGCTTGTGACTTGGGGTCTGCGGCTTGTAGAGTTCATCCTGCTTCATGAGCCGAGTACGAGCGTCAGAACGAACATATGAGCACTCAAGCCACTCACCACCTTTTGGTGAAGCTCATCAAACGCTCACTGAGTTCGAAGGCATGACTGCTCTTCTTTGTTGGTTCAACAGTGCAATTCCTAGCGTTGAAGGCTTGAACTCTTTGAGGTGCTAAGCTGAAGCCAACCAACTGCCAACAAAACCCAACCCCTAAGTCTCCAAGCCCTAAGCCCTAAAAACCCTAAACCCTAGCACCTAAAGCCCAAACCTCAAGCCCTAAACCCTAAACTCCGACTTTGAATCTCTCATGTGGGTCCTACGAGCCGCCGCGACATCGCCTCGCAGCCACTTCTGCTTGGCAGCCTCTAGATGCCAAGGGATCAGGGGAGGGTGTTATATCAGGGTAAGGATTTAAGGCCTTGGGTTGTTGGGTTTAGGCGTTTAGGGGTTTAGGGGAAGGGATTATACTGGAGTATATGAGGATGAACTGAGGATATTCAACAGGGAATAGACAAGAAATTGGCAACTACTGTGCAGGGTTAGGGGGGTGTAAAGATTCTGATTGAAATTTGAATACAATCTGTATGGGGGCTGTTGTAGATGCGAACAGTTTGAGGGATACGCTTGAAGGGTTTAGGGCTAGGGTTTAGATTCTACAGACCACCAAAGCTATGCATGGAAAGATTTGCAGCGGTCGTCAGAAGCGTTGCTGGTTTCTGCCTGCAATGGAGGAGGGAGGAATCAGTACAACAGCCCTATACAATCCCCAACAAACTAATACAAGTAGTTTCCATTTTCTTTTTTCATTCCTTAATAAACCCGAAGCCCTAGAGTAGCCTGGATTTCTTATCCATGTACTCATTCTCTACTCACAACCAGCAAATTAGCCCGAAACACCAGAAATCCTACAACCGCCCCTCCCGTTCTGTGCCAAATTCTACTTGTCTTTCGATTTGATGTTCGATTCCCTGCAGCCCTAATAAGCCCTAATAAAACCCTAAAAACCCAGGAAGGAGGGAAATGTGAATGATCTGGCATGTTCAGGGTTCAGGGTCCTCTGTATCATCGGACCCTAAACAGCCCCCAGCCGAACAGCCCCCAGCTTCAAACAAGACCAAGATAACACTTAAACAAGTTATAGTTTGGGCCTTCTTTAGGTCTGGGAGTGTTAGGCTGGCGCTAGTAAGGAACCCAATGTTTGTAAAAAGGATTCATTGTCTGTGCTGTGGACGCTCAGACCCTCTGCACTGAGCAAGGGGCCATGAGCCACAGGATCTCCGCATGAGGGCAGTATGTCACAGCTCGCTGCAGCACCTGAGAGAAGGGTTTAGAGTTTGGGGCTTTGTGTCCTGCAAACGGGGGTTTAAAGGGGCCATGTACTTTATTTAGCTTAAATTATGGATATCCAAACGCATGAGGAATATGTCAGGATTTGGGACTACGCTTCAAGGATTCGGAGTCTGGGGCATCATGAGAAGGAGCTTAGCTTCAAGGTGGGCTACATCAAACAGACAGACGGCTGAAGATTCGTTTGGAACTACTGTAGGAGTAATCAGCTTGCAGTGTGCGACAGCTCTCTAATTCGTGTAGCCCCATTTGCTGACTGTTCAAGAACCCAGCACTCCATCTTAGATCAGCAGCCGGCCCAATACGATGCACACCTTCATGATTCTTGCCACACTATTTATACAGTCAGCGGTGCTAAGTGTGGTCAACACGACCATTCCTCTGTTTCTCTGCAAGGCGTTGACAGGATTGGCTAAGCAAAGCTATATTCACAGCACCAGCTTCTGATAGGTGCCACGGGTGTTATCATCAGACACTGATGACAGTTGGAAATTCTTGTTGGTAATTCTCGTGCGTTACCTACCACTTTCTGTACAAAGCCACCAAAGTGACCTCTGTCCAGGCAGTCTTTCCGTATACCCCTCAGACGATGAGCCCTCAAAGCTTCACTATACCTGCGACTTCTCCATGTGCCTACAGATCGGAAAGTTGTACCTTGCTATCAAGGAAGAAAAACTAACATTGGCACGTGGTCCCACAGGTTCACCCTGCATCCCCGGCTAGATTCCAAGGGCCCTTAGCTGCCCCTGAGAAAACTTCGCCTGAACAGAGATAAGGGAACCAAGGCTTCCTGGAGGGTCATTTCTGTCTAAGGGAACCAGGAACAACTGGGCTGTTGTTGAAGGGTTTACATGGAATTACTGTAATTGGGAGGCGTGGCTGTATGCTCATCAGTCCTGTTATTGAAACTTGATTCAAGTTCCTTGGCAGCAACCCCACAGTACCTCACGTCCCACCACAGCTTAGGCTCACACGTTGTCCAGCGACTCGGCATTGCCGTACTTCGTCTCGAGCTCCGCAAGGCGGAGCCACAGACCCTGTGGGTGGATATGGGTGGAGTTGTCAAAGCAGTTTCCTCTAAGATCTAAATGAGGGGCCATGCAAGTGTATGGGACGTCTACAGTGGTCCTACATGTGTTTCAGAGACTGGAGAGATCATGTAAGGGATTTGAAGGAATCGTAAGATTGTTGAAGCCACATTATTGGCAAAGAACTGTTCTTCTGAGGTGCGAAGGAAGAACATGAGACCAGAGGATCTAAAGGATTTGCAGAATACGCGTCTCGCATATGGCTTCTCACATGGCCAGTATATTTTTGGGGACATGCCTTGTAGGACGCAGCGACACGCGGTTGGAGCGTCAAATTTGAGCTTGCCTCGATGTTGATTCTGAAAGGTCATTGAAGGTTCAATCTTGTACCTGTTTGTGTGCCAAATGCTGATGATTGGGCTTCCCATCTAGACATGTCCGAAAACCTTACTAAAACACATTCTGTCTCAGACCCATGCTCCTGTTTTAAATGCACCTAGTAGTTCTTCAAAATATCAACCTGGCTTATAGAATCTCTTTTATCCATTTACATGGGCTTTGGTTGACCCATAATTGGTGTGCATGCACAATTCCAAGCATCCCATGTCAAGTCTTTTCGTGAATGCAGAATGGCCTTCTCTTATGCCCGTTCGCAAAGTAAAGTCGCAGTTGTCAACGCTACACTCTGAATGGAGCAGCTGCCTTCTTGCCCTTCAGGTGCATGACTGCGTTGTTGTAGATGGCGCGCGCAACCTTCCCAAGTCCCAGCAGGATTGTGGGGATGGCTCCGGCACTGAGGTGCTGAGATCAATACATGGTCTGAAAAAACAGTTCATGGAGCCACACTTACCTAACCTTGCTTCCGCACAAGCCCAGCAGCACCATCCAAAGCCCGTAATGCAAAAGCTTAAGCAATTACCAACATCATCTCGAGGCCTATTTAGCCAATTCCTGCTATATGTTTGAATTTCTGTCCAGGAAATATAGGTAAACATCCTTGTGCAACACCATCTAAGCCCAGTTTCCCTTTAGCTAAATTCCATTTCCATTATTACCCCAGGCCCTGATAATCCCCCCTGATCCCCTTAACGGGACCATGATATAGGTAATCCTGTATGCCCCGATATTACTCACCACCCTTGAACTCAAGGCCTCGATGGAGTTTCTGTTGATGGCAGCATCTGCATCCTCACAGCTGCTTAGGGCTTCGGGAATCCGACAAACTGTTTTAGGGTTTGAGGTTTATGGCTTTAGGTTTGAGAGGTTAGGGTTTAGAGCTTCTGGAACTGATGGAGCACGAAATGGCAGAACGGAAGCCGCATCATGCCGGAACTTTCTATGGTCTTAGTTTGCGTAGTCCTCTTCAGAAGGCGATTTCAAACGCGAACCCCCCCCCCCCATATCTTGAGACAGCAATGAACTAATCTTCAATGTCGGTGCCTACTTTTCCTTGGATACCTGTCTGCATGAAGACCTGTCGAGTGGTGGATGCACAGCACAGGGCATGAATCAGTTTGAATGATGAAGGTTTCTTAAACTTGGGGAGCCCCTACAAAACAAATGAATATGAAACCCCTGCATCGATGACCCCCGAAGAGGACCACCACTTTGAGACACTCCAAGGCTGCATCCTGCAGTGCAAAAGGGGTTGGATCCAGAAACAGAACCCGCAAACGTGTATGGACCCCCTTCGCTAGGACAAGAATTTTCACATGTCTGAACACGAAAAGTCTCAGGACAGAAACAGCGCTCGCTTTCACCAATGTCAGCATGCTTTAGTGGAGATGTTGACTGTCCCTGAGCTTTGAGTTCTTGATTTGTGCTTTCCGGAGCTAGCGGTGCCATTAGCTGTTGGGGTTAGGCCATGCTTTCTAGGACCTAAGCATACCAACAGACAGTCACCGGGCTCGCCAGGCTCCTCATATGAGCTCTAGTCTAAGCTCTCCTTGCTAGTCCCTATAGTACTCCCCTATAATCCCTCATATAATCTGTCAAGGAGTTTAGCCTATAGCTCATATGGCGGTTTATACAGACATTGCAGCGAGGCACTTCTGAACGAGATCCTGCAGTCGCCTCTGCATGTGCTGTGGCATCTCTAGAGACTGATTCCATGCACGGAGGTCCAGGAAGAACTCTTCCTGCCAGCGGTACTTGTCCCTTGTTTTATTCCGTTTGGGTGGAGCCCAGGGTGGATGCACAAAGAGTGCAGCAGGCTTCTGGCACACCAAGCCGTGGCTGCATAGCACGGACATAGGAATCAGGAAGATGCCCTGCAGTTGCTCTGCATCAAGAAGACACACTGCCAGCACGTCAAAATCGTCTTTTGCATAGGCACGCTTTCCACGTGCGCCTGCTGCCTTCCACAGAGTGCACGCATACCTTCCGTCTAACTTTCTGCGATGTGATGCCTTTTCCTGCAAGCGCACTCGCTCCACCGAGTTAGCTGGACCGTCGACTTCCAGAAGCGCGTCGACGGTCGTCTGATGTACCCGAGGCTGTGACAGGCGCATATTCATGCAGGCAACCAACGCGTTCAGTTGGGCATGTGCCCGTGCTTCTACTCTGTGGTTTGGTGCGCACTGCAGGAGGGCTTGCTGAATGGACATATGCTCAAATCTTTTGCTACGGAAGCACTTTACCAGGTGCGCGCTGATGTCAGGAACCGAATATTTCCGACAGCTTGCGGCTCCTACAGTAATCTTTAAGTACTTGCTTTGCAGCTGCGACCCTGCAGCGGCCCAGAAATGACCTCCATCCAGCGCCACCATGATGACAACCATGCCGTCATATCCATCAACATGGCTGAATATGTATGCGCGACCTTTTCTGCCTCTACTTGTGGCCGCTTTGAGCTAATCAGAAGCCCGTCCTCTCCCGAGCCCTTGTGCCGGAACACGGCATCAGCCCTAGAAGCGCCGGTCAAGGGTACAATTTCATATCCTTCCGCATTCGAGGAAGCTGCAAACGCTTCTCGGAACAGCTCGAAGGCCCTCGCCTCGTTTCGATTGTTGCGCCCGCTAATTCGTAATCCGCGTTGGCGAGCCTGAGCAGTCGTTTCGCTGTAGCTGGCCTCCTTCTTGGATGGAAAATTCAAATACGTCTTCAACTTCTGCTTATCGTCAGAAAACAGACTTCTGAGCTTTGCATCGTAGGCCTCTGCAGCCTGCTTGGCGGACTTGAAGCTGCCAATGTACTGCAGTTCCCCACCAACCTGCAGTTGCGCCGTGAAAACACAGTCCCTCTTCCGGCAAGAAACGCCGCAGTACTTGTCTGCAGCAGCCTTGGCCGCAACGACTGGATCCCGGGGTCTGGGACTGAAGCAGGCCGGGCCGTCCAACACCAGGCACAGCACCAAGCCAAACACATGCCATAGCACGTTCCAGTACGCAAAGAAGGCTCTGCGCATGGCGCCAGCCCGCCGTTGCCAGTCTAGTTGGTTCGGAGTTATAAAAATCATCCTTAACTGCAGTGCGTGTGCTTGGGAAGCGAAAGAACGCGTAGTCACTCCAAGGGACGATACAAACTGTTACTACGTCCGGTAGGTTGAGAAACCAGTAGGATACGGTTCATGGGAACTTCTGGGACGTCTGTCTTGTTGCCTTGGGTGCCCGATGATTTGTAACTTGTGAACTCTGGTCTATTTACGCAATCCAGTGCGCATCCATTTCATGTTCCATGTTCTTGTCCGTTTGTCCTCCATGATTTGGGACAGTATCTCCTGAAACCCTACCGACTACCTTCTACAGGTCGCTTTGGAGCCTTGCAGGCGTCAGCTCCATGCTTACAGGTAAGAAGGAATTACTGGATGTGCTGTTCCCTGCGCAAGGCTTTGCCAGACAACCTGGATCAAACACAGCACATGGGAGCTTCAACAAATTACCTAGAAGTTCTCTGCATGGCGCCTTCTTTTCCTTGGTCCTTACACCAAGGGGTCCTGTAGAGATACTGTTGTACACTCTAGAAGCTCAGACGCCCAAGAGGTGAGAGTCTGTGCCAGAGGCATCTTGTCATTTACCTTGGAGTGCCTACTTCTATTGCTCAGTACCCAAAAAGGGGGAGGGCCTTCAGGTATCACATGCGAAGCTGTGACCGGTATTTGGCATCCAGCACCCCATATTTCGGCACTAGAACGATACTAAGCCAAAAACTCCTCAACCTTACGCCCCCGGTTTACGCTTCTGCCAGCTCACGCTGGAGCCTCGCAACAGACAGATTAACACAGGGCATCTTGATAAAGTAAGTGGGTGATGGTGGGGTGATACGCAGATTGGGTCTTTGTTGGGGTCATGTGAAGGATTACCCTAAACCTCATCAATTAAGCATGAAGTGTAATTCATCTTTCAATGAACAGCCCAGTACATGTCCAGGTTAGAAAGGTTGGGTTGCTGTCGAGGAACTTTAATCAAGTTACTTAAATAAGAAACACCTATGATTACTCACTCTGTACCCATTGTTTTGGTAACTTGAATCCTAAACTCTAAACTCCGCACTCTTAATCCTAAATTCCTTTTACTGTTACTATTGTACTAGTGCTATTACTATTACGCGTATTCCTTTATTATCAGTAGGCTTCAAATCAAGAGTCGAGCGTTTCTGCGGAGGTGGATGCAATCCAACAGGTCTACCGCGAAGACATACAATGAAATTGCTTCGGACAGAAGGAGACGAGGGCATCCAACTGCGAAAGAACACCCCGGCCATGAGGGGAAATTGCCTAGCCCAAGTATCCAGGCCCTGAACCCTAAACCCTGAATCCTAAACCCAAGCTAAAACCACTCCCCAGTTCGTCCCAAGAACGTCGAACACCTCCATCCGCGATAATAATAGTAGCGATATAGTGATAAATACTAACAAAATGAGTAGTACGGACAAAACTCATAGCAACAACAATACTAAAGTAATAACATCAAGAATAGTAATGGGGAGAGGGGTGCCATGCTATCAGAAAAGAACGTTACGTTAGGTTTGTTGACTACCCGCCTGGATCCAGTTCTGCTTCATGCCCTTGACGTCCTCATCAACTCCTACCTGCACACGCGGGAGGAAGTTGCCGAATTGGGTATGGCTTGAGGGCACCGCTTTGCGCTCATGCTGGGCGTTGTACAAATCGTTGCCCCTTTTTGGCCCTTCAAATACTTTCAGGGGCCGTCCTATACTAGAGAACCACAAAGGGGCCATACTTTTGACGAGCTACCAACAACCCTAAACCCAGAACGCTAAAACCAATTTCTTTTGAAGCACACATACAGTAGGCGCGCAACTCTTCGAGCTGCGACTGTTGCTTGCTGGAGGTTCCTAAGGAATAAGGGAATACGTATAGGGTTTAGAAAAGGGATATAGGGTGTAGGGCTGGAGAGAACAAGGGAATATACTACATAGGGACTATATAGGGATTATATTCCCTGTTCCCTACTAACCACCAGTGGGGTTAGCTTGTTTGGTGACAGCCGTCAGAATGTCTTGAAGTTTTCTCACATATGCATCTCCTCAAACAGAAATTAATGCCTCCCCTGCTATCCCAGCATAGATGTGCAGGGAATCCCTGCAATTGCTGAGAGAGCTTGAAGGTTCAAGAAAGCGTCTAGTCTAGGCCAGCGTAGGCTCCTTGTGGAATTTGAGGAGTGTTCCCAAACTCTGGCACTCCCATCTCAACTCCAGTCAATCACACATAGCAGAGACTCCTAAAAGGCCTGGGGAGCAATCGGTTGCGTTTCAGGATTTATAGCTTCGGGGTCAGGCTGCAGGTTCTAGGGCGCTTCATGTGAGAGTTCCCTAAATAGGGGGACTCCAATATGAATTTGCACCTACAAAGGCTACCTCCCTAGTTATAGAGACCCCCAGAATGGCACCCCTCATTGTAGGAAACCCTCATGTACTGCAACTTGCGGCTTGGGTTGGAGCTAAGTTCCTTTTGGAACCCTGGTACAAGTCATATCTTATATAAGCCGTTGTTTTGGACCATAAGTTTTACATAGCAGAAACGAGAAAATATCTTCAAGGAATCTGGGCCCAGACTTCCCAAAGCTGCGATATGCTGAGCTTTCCGTGGCTGCTTCCGCTTCCTGGGCTGTATACCCCAGCACAACCTGTAATAGCGTAATGCAAAGATCCTACGTCTTCAGCAAATCTAGGTTGCTCTGTTTCGACCCTTTACGGGCTCGATCGTGCCTTGATGGTGACCTTGATGATGGCTTGGCACGTCTTGATGAAGCCCGTTTTCTCGGCCTCTCATGGTAAATCACAGTAGGGCCGGGTTCAGGGATAGTCTTATGTTAACTGACAGGCGTCTGTAGATGGGAGCCCCTTCCCAACTCAAACTGACACCCAACTCTAAACCCTAAACTGCGGAACATAAACGGACTCCTTTGTTGGAGGATCCATGCCTTGAATCCTGTCACAAGCTGTCTGACGTCCCGGGGCCTCCTCCGCTTGCTTCAGCCACCTGCAGTATGGTTTAGGGTTTAGGGTTGGGTGTCAGTTTGAGTAGAGTGACGACTATACCGAAGGGCCTAGGTACCTATACGGGGGTTTCCCAAAATTAGGGGTACCATTTTGCACACAAACCCTGAAGCAACAACCAACCTCTTATAACCCTGAACCGCTCAAGTCTCTGGACCTCAAGTAACCTAAACTCTACTAGAGCTTAGGTACCTAAACCCCAAACTAAACCTGCTCCCACGTAACCTAAACTCCTGTAGGGTTTAGGTGCCCCAAGCCACAACACGATTCTCATACCCGGGCTCTATCCTTTCAATGAAGGAGGACCGTACCAACGTAGAAAACTACAAGCAGAGCCCGCGGCATGTCGCGGTCCGGCGTCACGCCGTTGGCAGCCAGGGAGTCGATAGCGCGAGTCAAAATCAGCTCCACCTTAGAGGGGGGTTTGCTGAAAGTAGGATCTCCAAGCCACTTGTCTGAGGGGGTGGAGTTAGGGTTTAGGTCTTAGGGTTCAGGGAGTTTATACCTAAATCACCATCTGCACGAACTTCATGGTCTTCTTCGTCGTTTTGCAAGGTACTCCTCTGGCATAAGCTTACATGGAAGGCCAACCAGCGCACCAAGCAAATGTCAAAAGCAAGCCGCTCTTCATCTTCGCAAGCCTCCAAGATGTAAACTCCCATTCTCCAAAAAATACTGACCTTGTTGCCTGACCCTTGCCTCCTCTTTAGGGTTTAGGGTCCTCAACCCCAGGTGTGAACTCTTGGCGAAGCACTCGAAGAAACAAAGGAGCTTACTGGGCGCCTGAGCTTTTGAACAAACATGAAAGCTGGCGGAGCACCAGTTAGGGCCTAAACCATAATCAAAACCGTAAGCCCGAGCCTAAAGTAACTTATGTGCCTATATTAACATGCTTTGTACCTTGTGTTATCTTGCTATCGTTACTTTTTGCCTAGGTCGTATAGGCAGGTGCATAATGTGTGTGTGAGCATTCAGAAGTATCATCAAAGAAGTACAAACGGAAGTTCGCATAATGATTTGAATGGATAAACCACCTGTACTGTAGCGGTCTGAATAGTTGCCAATATCATGTTGAAGTCTATTTGAGGTATCCTATACTATAGCTATATAAGAAATATGGGACCCCTATTGGCAACAATTCAGGCATCTACATTTGAGCTATAGATTATGCTCCTAGCATGCCCCTTGATAATCACGATAAGAATACCCTATCTGTTCCCCTAAATAACCCTCTATAACCCCCTTTAAGGAGTTCAGACCCCTAAACCCTAAACCCTATATAACCCCCACCTTTAAGGAGTCTAGACCCCTAAACCCTCAACCCTGTATAACACCCCGTGAAGGAGTTTCGACCACTAAACCCCAGATAACCCCCCCCCTTCAGGAGTTTAGACCCCTAAACCCTAAACCATATATATCCCCCCTTTAAGGAGTTCGTCTATAGCTCCTATAATCCTCCAATAACCCTTGATATATATAGCAGTTTTCATTTCACTTCTATTTTCTTTCCCATGTCATTCTCCATTATTGAGGTACTATAACCCCTATAATCGTAGTTTCCATCTTATTGCCCATTATCCCAATATTACCCATATATATATATATATGCTACCCCCCCCCCAAAAAACCTACGTTTTACAGAAAAACCATGGCCTGCACGCTAGAAAACCCCTTCCAAGTAGCCTTTCCTGGGAAATATATACATTTCATTACGATCTTCCATTCATGAGACTGCAATGCTTGCCTGGCAGAGTTGC